ATCCTGTTCCCTTCAACTTCCTGGCTGCCGGTCGCCATCTTGGTTGGCAGTTAATTTGCATATCAGCCAATGGGAAGTGTGTCAGAGGTATGGTTAATTACCATGTTTGTCTATTATTAGATAGGATTATTCTGTATTAGTTTCAGGTATACAGCATAGTGGTTAGACTTTTAGAGTCTCTTAGTATTTTTAACATATATGATATAAGAAGCTATATTATATACTCATAACCTAAAGTGATGTTCTGTCAAAACTTCTAAAGTCAAGGATCTCTGAATGTGCGTAATACCTCACCAGATGGGAATATATGTGTGTAAGATTTAGTGGATTTATGATGCTAAGGTTGTCTTGATCAAATAAATGCCTCTTTGAGATTTTTTTTTTAGACGGTGGTTGTTAAAAAAAAATAAATACACTAATGTTATTTAAATACATTTGGTAAGACAAGGAGATAGTATCACAATTAGTCATTGTTATTGTTTTTTTCCTGAAGCATCAAGTTTATTACAAGATTTGGCAGAATCAAGTACTTTAATAAAATCACCCAAAAATGTGAGAAAACAATAGCAGGGCCAGGGAGAAGGGCCCCAGGAAAAACAGTCCATTCTCTGAAGTCTCATTCAAGTGGAGGCCAAGGGGTGGATCCACAGTGGGGACAGCCTCTCCTTTTGACCCCCAGAGGGCTCCAGACCGTCCTCCAAGCAGAGCAAGAATTTTGGATAAAATGCTTCTGAGGGCCGTGGGGGTGCCGGCTACCTTCCTGATACGAGCCCTCTCGCTCACGGGTTCCTGCACACACAGCACCACTCTGACCCGTGGCTGTTTACATCCAGCCTCTGGCTGACCTCCCTGGAGCTCAGCATCTTGAAGTTCAGCGTTTAAAATGCAGGGAGTGTGGCTTGACTTCCCTCAGAGTCTTTGACTGTGGCCCTGCCTTGGCCATCCACAATTTAAAAAATTATATTGGCTTCACTCGTCCTTTAGACATGCTGCTTGTTAATGGATGGCTTGCAGTACATGAGTCTTCATAGGAAACTGAAGACCCTCCTAGCCACCCCTGCTGGCCCTGACTGGCC